GTAATTAGGGTTGAATCAGTATCATGTTTGAAATTTGGGTTTTCTGATGTTCATTCAGCATTCCGTTTTCGGCATTCTGTTGTAAATCCTATATTTCGTTTTCTTTTGAGATTTCCGTTGTCTTTCAGTATGGGAATTAGGGTTATGAAAATCTTTTGGTTTTAGATCAACTTGGGGAAAACCGAACGTTTTGGGACCGTATATCCGGAAATTTCGCCGAAACGCGGAAATTAGGGTTGGGACCGAAATTTTCGCGAAAATTGTTTTCGTTCTCCTTGTTTGAGAAATTYCGAAAATAGGTTTAGGCTTTTAAAAATCGGATTTTGACGGTGGGAATTCTCGGAAATTCGCATTTTTTCGAGCGTTTTTCTTCTGAAATTTTCCGAAAATTTTTTTAGCACACTAAGCTGTATCTGACCTTAAATTGCAACTACCGGGCAGTTCACTTATTAAACGGTGAACTCCCGGTCTCATAGTGATCTCAAAGAGACCTAATCATAATACCTTTCAAATTCGTTATTAATTGGTTATCTTTATTTACAAACATTGTTTTACTGATTATCACACATTGTTTACTGATTATCATTCGGATTTATTTTTGTTAATTATCATTAATTAATTTTATTGATTAAAACGTTATAAATTCCTTATTACGGGAAAATTATTTTTTCCGTTTGATTAGGTGTCTACAGTCCATCAGTGGGACAGAGGATTGTATGTATATTGCTTGATTGTTCTACCCTGTTCCCACTCTCCCTACCCCCCGTGTTCTGTGATTACCGGGACTTCTCAAGTACCGCATCAGTTTAGACTGATGTCGACGGAACAGGACACCGGGGGACTGCCACGACGCAGTGCCAGAATCGCAGTTCGTGCCCGCCCTGCAGTACCTCCAAGACCGAAGAAACTCAGCAGACGGACGACTTCAGCAGCATCAAGTACGACATTGACGGTACAAAATGCCACCGGAGATCATCCCGCATACCCAGTCCGAGGAGCCAACGAGCCAGCGGCTGATTATCGTGGGCGGCTACTGGCATTTTCAAAAGTCGTAGCTGCCGTCGAGGCCCGGAAGGAGATAGCAGAGGCAGAACGTCAGCGGCTAGCCAATGAAGCGGCAGCCGAAGCTCAGCGAACGACTGAGACTGACGCAGCGACACGAGACATACGGAATGCCAGCAGCACGGAGTCCTTGATTGCTTGTGAGCATCAGTGGACGACGRTACTCCAAGACATGATCTTTGTGCCTACAGAAGCGCAGGCAGACCCGACACCGGCGGAGGCAGAGAGAAGTAACCTGGCTAACTTGCTGCTGGGCATGATGAGAGGTATTATGTGGAATAATACACTGCTGCAGTCACATCTGCGCACGGACGCGACGCAGCGACAAACATACGAGAATGATATAACTACGTTAACAACTGCTATCCGCACAGAGGCAACGCAGCAGCAGCAACAGCATCAACTGTTGAATTCCACTATCACACGCGTCAACAGCATAGAGGCTAACACCTCAGCAGCGCCAGGCTGCACGACAGACGTGAYGAAGCAACTCAACGAGCGCATCGATCACGTCGTCACCATCATCGGCGACATAAGTACGTTCACTGGACCAGACTCGATCAGCAGCATGGTGGCCGCCATCAAGACGGACCTCACCAAGCTACAGACGAGACCAGAAGCCGCTACAAAGACGTTCAAGATGCCGCACTTCGACATCAGCAAGT